TTGATACAATAATACAAGATATTTCTCAAAGAAATATTAAAGAAAATTGTCCTCAAGTGTTAGAACAAGAGGGGAAAGTAGAAATAGGAAAAATCCACCAATCACCATCTGAAAGAGATCCTATAAGGAAAACCTACAGGAATATCATAGCTAGATTCTGAGACTCCCAGCTCAAGGAGAAAATATTATGAGCAACAAGAAAAAGAAAACATTCAAGTATGGCAGAGCCACAATTAGAGTCACATAAGACCTAGCAGTGGCCACATTAAAAGACCACAGATCTTGCAACACTACATGTGGAAGAGCAAAAGAACTGGGGTTGAGGCCGAAAATAGAATATCCAGCAAAGTCAAGCATAATCTTGAATGGAAAAAAAGGGGGGGGGTTACTCAATGAATTGCCAGACTTTCAGGGTTTTGTGGCAAAAAGACCTGAACTCAATAGAAAGTTTGACATACAAGATCCAAGAAAACATAAAGTAAATATCAAAGACTTATTATAAGGGATTCAATAAGAACAGAGTATTTACTTTTTGTATGAGAAAATGTAGGGGCAGCTAGGTGGCACAGTGGATAGAGCACTGGCCCTGAAGTCAGGAGTACCTGAATTAAAATGTGGCCTCAGACCAAACACTTGACACTTACCAGCTGTGTGACCCTGGGCAAGTCACTTAACCCGAATTGCCTAAAAAAAATGTACATTATATTCTAAGATTATTATTAGTATTTGTGTAGATCGAAAGAAATGAGGTACAGCTGAGCATGATTTGACACTAAAAAGTAAACCGTCTAGGAGAACATAAAAAGTGTAATTACTTTATAAAAATGAGGTGTGAGATGAAGAACAGAAACAGAATAATTAGATGGGGGAGGAGGGCTGTGAGTTCTGGAACCCTATTCTCATTGGGAATGGGTTAAAGAGGGAACAATACATATACATCTAGAAGGTCATAAAAGTTTATAAATTCAGGAAGAAATAAGAGGCTAAGGTAATAGGGAGGGGAGAAGATAAGGGAGGGATTTTAGGGTAGGGGAGAGAATAAGGGAAGGATCTTTGTTTGGGGTAGGTTAAATAATAGGAGGTCAAGCTAGCAGGTAGAGGTAAAGTAGAGGAGTCAGGAAGGATAGGAAATAAGAGATACACATAAACAGGAGTAGAATTTACTAGGGAAAAAAAGCAGGGATAGTAATCATGATCTCAGACAAAGTTAAAACTGAAAAAGAGTTAATCAAAAGGGAAAAATAGGGAAACTATGCCACACTAATCAATATTGTTTTAGGCTATTTAAAATAACTAGACAGCATAAGGTTGGAATATTGATATGGTAGAGTGAACAATGAGTTGATGGAGTGAGAAAAAAAATGGAAAGACTTGGACTTATGAAGAAAGATGTTATCCACCCTCAGAGAAACAAAGGACGAACAAGTATAATACAGTGTTACATAGATGTGTATGAATGGATATGTCTACATACGAGTATGATTGTAGATATCTAAATATATGTATGAGAATGTAAGTGTATGTATACATGGATACATGTGTGTGTGTATATATATATATATCTGTATGGGTGTATATATGCATGTATGTGTATGGGTGTATACGCGCACGCAAACACACATATATACATACACAGACACACATGCATATCTCTGCTTAATTGTAGGCTTCTAGGGAGAGGAAGGGGGAAAAAAGAACAAAGTAAAAAAGTACACAGCAGAAAACAAAAGAAAACCTAAAAGGAAGCGAAGAAAAGATGGACAGCTCTCAGCACAATGCATAGTATTTGTTATATAGGCTTTCTTGATATGGAAATTTATTTCTGTATGTACTGAATCCTTTCTTATGTTCTGCTATGCACATTAAAAAAGGAAGTAGGTAGGTGGCATAGTGGATAGAATCCTGGGATTGGAGTCAGGAAGACCTGAATTTAAAACTGGCCTCAGACACACACTAGCTGTGTGATCCTGGGAAGATCACTTAACCTCTGATTGTTTCCAATTCTTCATCTGTAAAACATACACAAAAAGGCACAAAACCTTGTTCAAGAAACAAATGCCTTGAAAATTACAATGAACTAAACAAGAGCTAATGACTCCATGAGACAACTAAAAATATCAAAACAAAGTGAAAACATGGAAAATGGGGGGGAGGGGCATGGTGCATATCAGAACAAGGATAACTGAACTGGAACAGAAATGTAATTCAAGAATTACTAGACTACCATGAAAACCCCAAAAGAGCCTAGATATATCTATTTCATGGAATCATAAAAGAAAACGGCCCAGATCTCTTAGAACAAGAGTGAAAAGTAGAAATTGAAAGAATTCACCAGTCACCTCCTAAAAGATTGAAAAAGAAAACTCCCCAATATATTAAATCCAAAATCCAGAATTTCTGGGTCAACTCATTAATAAACATTAATTAAGCACCCATTACAAACTAAGTCCTAGGTGTGTAAAAAAAGGGAAAAGACACTCCCTGTTCTCAGGGGGCTTACAATCTAACAGGGAAACAACAACAACCAGAAAAGAAATCTACAAAGCAAGCTATATACAGGATAAACAGGAAATAATTAACAGGGGTATGGCACTGCAGTGAAAAGAGGTTAAGGAAGGTTTCCAGGAAAAAAATGAAGGTCCTTTCCTGAGCTGAATCGTGAAGGATTCCAACTCTACTGCAGAGAGCACAACTCAGATGGGCTGGCTGCATTTTTGAATGCCAAACATACATTTGTCTAAAAGAGATCACACAAGGCATGTGCTCACATGGAGATCAGAAGAAGCAATACAAGCACATTTTAAAGGTGTTTGAAGAACTTTGGAATTGATTGGAGACTTGGGAGACACTAGCACCGGTCACCCCAGCAGGGCATCCCTACATTGAAGAAAGTGCTATGCTCTATGAGCAAAACAGAATTGCACTAGCTCAAAAGAAACATGAGGTGCACACATTTAGAAACATCTCCACTCTGAACGTTCATATGAATTATCTGTGCCCAACCTATGGCAGAGACTTCCGAGCTCATATTGGATTCATCGGCTATAGTCAGATACACCCTACCTTGACCTTGACATAGTGATGTCAGTTTGATCCTTTTTGAGAATTATTGTTCATTCTCAACCAAAGGAAGCCAGGGAAATCAGTAGGTTGACTTGAGGATGCCATGTATTCTAGGAATGGGAGTAAATGCCCAGAGTCAAGAGATGGAAGGTTTGTGTAACAGCCAGGAACCCAGTGTCACTGGATCAAAGAGTACTTGTCATGGAGTAAGGTACAAGCAGGCTGGCAGGGTAGGAGCCAGATAAGTGATGAAGGGCTTTGAATACCAAACAGAGCACTTTGTATTTGATTCTAGATGCCATAGAGAGCTACTAAAGTTTATTGAGAAGAGGAGTGACATGATTGAACCTGAGATTTAGGGAAATCACTTTGATGGCTGAATGAAGAATGTATTGGAGTGGGGAGAGACTTGTTGTAGGCAGATCCATCAGCAGCTATTGTGTGAGGTAATGAGGGTCTGTGGGCAGCTAGGTGGTACACTGGAGAAAGCACTTGGCCTGGAGTCAGAAAGACTCATTTTCCTCAATTCAAATCTGGCCTCAGACACTTACTAGCTGTGTGACCTTGGGCAGGTCACTTCATCCTGTCTGCCACAGTTTCCCCATCTCTAAAATGAACTGAAGAATGAAATGGCAAACCACTCCAGTATCTTTGCCAAGAAAATCCCAAATGGAGTCACAGAGTCAGATGCAATTGAACAATAACAACAATGAGTAGGGTCTGCACCAGTGTGAGGGCAGTATCAGAGGAGAGAAGGGGGACTATATTAGAGATGCTTCAAAAGAGAAATGGACAGGCCTCCGTAACAGCTTGGATATGGGAGTGAGGAGTCCAGAAGCCCAAAGGACTAAGAGGATCGTGTTGCCTTCTACAGTAATAGAGAAGGTGGGGAGGGTAAGATAGTGTTTGGTTTTGGAGAGGTTGAGATTAAGATTTCTACTGGACATCTCCAGTAGAAGATGTCTATTTTCATCTACTTTCATCCAGACCTGGTTCCTGGCAAAATAAGGTGAAAGACTCACCTATAAGTGCTATGGATGTGTTAAGCAGTGTACTTGGGGAAGGATCCAAGCTGTGTGACCTTGGACAAACCAATTAACCTTTCTTAGTTGTCATTTCTTTGTCTGTGAAATGAAAGTTAGACTTGATGATTTTTCAGGTTCCTTTGAATTCCCAATCTATGATCCTGCGATATCACACACAAAGACACACACACACACACACACACACACACACACACACACACACACACACACACCCCAACTCCAGAAATATACTCTCAGATGCTAGCTGAACAGTAGACTTTCCTACAAGGTGAGCATTTTAAAAAGTCTTCTCCCAGAAAAGGGAGGTGGAGTAGAAGGAGGGAAGAAGTAGTAAGGGTAAAGGGGAAGAAAAGGGAGGGGTCTAAAAGAAGAGAGGTGGGACTGAGGGGGTAGTGGTCAAAAACAAAGCGCTAGTGAGCAGGGAAAAAGATAAAGGTGAAACAAAAGCATAAATGGGGGGAAAAGAATGGAGAGAAAGACATAGATAGCAATCAGTCATAATTGTGAATGTGAATGGGATAAACTCTCCCATAAAATGGAAGTGGAGAGCAGAATTGATTAAAATGCCATCCACATCCAAAGAAAGAACTATGGACTTTGAAAGTAGATCGAAGCATACTATTTGCTATTTTTTTCTCTCTCTGTTGTGTTTTGTTTCCTTTTTCTGATGATTCCTCCAATTGGTTCTAATTCTTACTTACAACATCACTAATGTGAAAATCTATTTAATAGAAATGTATATGTGTCACTTATATTAGATTGTACACTGTCTTGGGGATGGAGGTACAAAGGGATAGGTAGAAAAATTTAAAACTCTGAAGCTTATGGAACTGACTGTTGATAAATCAAAATAAATTAATTTTAAAAAAAAGTCATTTCCCTATCTTGCAGGTACCAGTATATGACTGGAACCCAGAAATCCAGGGTCTCCTCCTTAGTGCTATACTCTACGGTTCAGTTATCACAACAATCCCAGGTGGTTATTTCTCTGGAGTTCTTGGAGGAAAGAAAATAGCTGGATTATCATTACTTCTCTGCTCAGTTCTCAGCCTCTTGACACCATTAGCAGCAGACTCCGGACTGCCTTACTTGTTTCTTGTAAGGATAGTACAAGGCCTGTCTCAGGTACCAGCACACCTTCAAAGTAGGTGAGTAAGACAGATCATGTCTCAATTTCATTCACAGTTCAAAATGTCTTCTCATCTTGATTTCAGGGGATGAATTTCAGTGCTCTAGCTGCATTTTGGCCAAAATGGGCTCCACCACTGGAACGTACTCAACTAAGTACCATTGGTTTATCTGGTAAAGACCCAATTATAACAGCTGTATTACATTTCTATCCCTCCTTATCTTTCCCACTTCCATCTTGGTGTAATTGGAAAAAGAGTTCTTGAAGGTAGGAACATAAATAAAATGGAATCACAGAAATTAAGAGCTAGAGAGCACATCAATGGTCATCTGGTCCAATTCATGCACAAAACTGGAATGCTAGAGACACAATACTTTGGTTCCCCTTTCTTACTTAATCTTAAATTTTGTGCAGATTGAAAATGCGAGTTATTCACACCCTCCTTAATTCCAATAGTTTAAAGAAAGCCCCAGAAACTTGAACTTCTAATGCTCTGACCCTGAACTTACTCTGAATCTTCAACTCAGGTACAACAATGGGAAATTTCATTGTGGTCATCGCGGGTGGTTTCCTCTGTGAGTCCCCAGGCTGGCCAAGTATCTTCTACATATTTGGTAAGTGACTTCAACTCAAATCCAGCTGTTTCCATGTTTCAGGGTTTCATTCCTGGAAATCTGCATCCCTTTTGATATCCAGGTAGATCCCACATTAAAAGTTCATAAGTAATTAAGTTTAGAAAAGACAAGAAAGAATTTTACTCAAACTTCTAATCCAATGAGGAAAATTAGAGAAAGTTGAAATAATCTTTTCGAGGTCACACAGTAAGTTAGTGGCTGAATCAATATAACTAGGTTACCTTCATTCTTTCTCCAGTGCTCTGGCTACTAGAGGCCAGCTGGCTCTAAAAACAATATTAAAAAAAAAAGTTAAAAACATTTTTGACCTGCCTATTTCACAAATGTGCCTTCAGTCAGTCAAGCAGCTAATATTTATTAAGCACCCAGTATATGCCAGGCTCTGTGCTAAATTCTTGGAATGTAAAGAAAGGCAAAAAGTACTCCTTGCTGTCAAGGCACTCATGGTCTAATGAGGAGATGTAAACAACTACGTAAAAGCAAACTATTGATAGGATGAATTAGAAATAATCTCAGGGGGAAGGCACTAGAATTAAGAGGGATCTAAAACCTTTCCTGTAGAAGGTGGAATTTTTGCCAGGGGTAAAAGGCAGAAGCAGCTGCATGGTACAGTGGCTAGAGTGCTGGGCCTGAGGTCAGGAAGACTCACCTTCCTGAGTTCAAATCTGGTCTCAGACACTTACTAGCTCTGTGACTCTCAGCAACTCACTTCACCCTATATGCCTCAGTTTCCTCATCTGTAAATGAGCTGGAGAAGGAAATAGCAAACTGCTTCAGTGTCTTTTCCAAGAAAACCCAAAATGGGGTCACAAAAAGTTGGACACAATTGAAAAATGCCTGAACAACAACAAAAAGAAGAGATGAGGAGGGAAAGAATTCAAGGCATGTGGGATAACTTATGCAAATACTCAGGGTCAGGAGATGGAGTGCTGTGTGGTAGGAACAGCAAAGGAGCCAGTATCATCAGATCAAGGAAGATGTGGGGTAGGGTGGGCAGAGAGAAGTGATGAAGTGGTACAAGTTGTAAAAAGAGTAGAAAAGTAGGGGAGGACCAGGTTATGAAGAACCTTGAAAACCAAACACAGGATTTTGTATTTCAGCATGGAAATACAGAACTACCAGAGTTCATTGAGTAGGGGGTAGCATGGCCAGATTTGCATTTTAGGATGATCGATTTGACAGCTGAGTGGTGGCTGAGCTGGAGTAGGAAAACACTTATGAGGAGATGACCAACCGGTAGGCTAGTGCAAATCTAGGTATGAGAGTGTAACAGACTTGTGTCTGTGTCAGAAGCGAAGGGGGTGTAGGGATCTATTTTATTATGTTGTTCAGAAAACATTAATTACTTATGATATTGTTTGAGTTTAACTTCAGGGGGCTAGAAATTGTCTAGCCCAAAGCTTATTCTACAAGTCAGACTGAACTCAGAGACACTCCAGAAAAGTTGGATGGCTTCAGGAAATGCTTAGATACCACTAGGTCTTCTTTGGGGTCAACCCAATTCTTGCCTTTTGGGTTCCCAAATTTAGATGTTTGTATTTATTGATATACTTCTCAACAGACTGTGCTTGGGAACTGCCCTTACTGCAAAATTGCGTAGCTGAATATTAGCGGTTCCTGTGCTGATATTCTTGTCTGAACCCTATAAAACATAAATCTTACAGAGACTCATAAGGGATCCATACCTTCTTCTCACTGTCTGCGTGCCAAACAACCTATTAAAATTCTTTCTAAAACAATTTCAGGCTTTGGGGTTCATTCTCATGAATAACAGGAGCATCAGGAGAGATGTAATGAAGGTAAAATTGACAGGATGTGGTAACAAATTGCATGTAGAAGGTAAGACAGAGTGAAGGATCAAGGATGACACTAGGTCTTGAGGCTGGGGGACTGGAAAGATGGTGGGACTCTCCACAGTAATAGAGAAATTAGGAAGAAAGGAAGGTTTGGGGGAAAATATGATGAGTTCAGTTTTGGGTATGTTGAATTTGAAATGTCTGCAGGACTCCCAGTTCAAGATGTCCAATATGCAGTTACCAATGCAAGAGTGAAAGAGAGCAGAGGGGTCAAGACTAGATAGGGAGATTTGAGTCATTAGCCTAGAGATGATAATTGCATCCATGGAAGCTAATGAGACCACCAAGTGAAATACTATAACAGGGAAAAGACTAGGGGTCAGGGTTTAAAAGGAGGGACCTGGATGAAGATCTAGCAATGGAAACTGAAAGGAGTGGTCAGAGAGGTAAGAGGAGAAACAGAAGAAAGCAGAAGCAGTGTCACCAAAACCTGTGAAGAAAAGAATATCAAAGAAAAGAGGGTGATCACCATTGTCAAGGTCAAAGGCCAAGAAGGATGAGGATCGTAAGAAGGTCATTGTTGTTGAGTCATTTCAATCATGTCTGACTTTTTTTGACCCCATTTTGGGATTTTCTCAGCAAAGATACTGGAGTGGTTTGCCATTTCCTTCTCCAGCTCATTGTGTAGATGAAGAACTGAGTTAAACAGGGTTAAGTGACTTGCTCAGGATCACATAACTAGTAAGTTTCTGAGGCTGGATTTGAATTCATGAAGATGAATCTCTAATTCCAATGCCAGTGCTTTATCCACTGTAACATGTAGTTTCCCAAAAGGTCATTAGATTTGTCCATTAAGAGATTATTAGGGCACTCAGGTGGCACAGTTGATAGAGCTCCAGCCTTGGACTCAGGAGGACCTGAGTTCACATCCAGCCTCACATACTTGACATTAGCTCTGTGACCCTAGGCAAGTCACTTAATCTGAATTCCTTCATCAAACAAAGGCAAAAAAAAGAGATTATTAATAATTTTAGATATAGCAGTTGCAGTTGAATGATGAAGTCAGAAGGCAGATTGTAGAGAGTTAAGAAGAGAGTGAGAGGAAAAGCAGCCGACACATGTAATATAGACAGTCTTCTTGAGTGTGGATGGAGAGACATGGGCATGTTTGTGGATAGTAAGGAAGCAGCCAGTAGATAGGGGGAGATGGAAGATAAATAAGAGAGTAGGGATGACAGGGAGACAGTGTGCTAGAGAAGACAGGATGGAATGGGATCATGATGCATGTAGAATGGTTTGCCTTGGCACAGAGAAGACTTACTTATGTGAAAGAGGCAAGAAGAAGGAGATAGTGGCAGAAGGATTCTGGTTATATGAGATGAAGTGGAGGGAAGAGAGAGCTTTCAGTGAATGGCCTCAATTTTTAAGTAAAATGTGAGGCAAGATTCTCAGATGAGAGAATGGGAAGTCAGAGAGCCATGGGTTTGAGGAGGGATGAAAGAGCTACTGTGGTAAATAGGATAGTCAGCTGAGTGAAGAAATGTGAAAGAATAGCATCGTCATAGGGAACTCCCAGACGAGGTCACATAACACAAATTTATTGATGTTACACAATATATACATTTTTGGTGTAACCCATAAACATAGTTCCATGATTTTCCCCCTACCTTCATTCATCGGCATGTATAAGAGTGTAAGCAGGATATGGATAAAGTGACCAAAGACTAAGGCTTTGCAGGGCAAGGTCAGCAATATGATAAGGGAGCAAGGGACTCAAGAAAAGTATGTCATTGAAGTGGTTCACAATCATTTCAAGATGGGCAAAGGAGGACAGTGTAGTTTAAGGATGATGAGCTGGGAAAGAGCTGGTGAGCCAAGGTGGGTCAAGGCATAGGCGAAGAACAGGGTTTGGGATTGCAAAGCAGAGAGAGAGGTAGAATGACAATAGATTTCAGTCAGGTAAGGCAATGGTAGATTTCATCAACATGGAAATGATGCTGATAGCATTTCAATCAGGTCTAGTTTATCTAACTTTGAAGAAATCTGTCAAGGAGAGATCACTGGTGCTCCACATTGCCTCAACTAAATAGATCTTCTTAACACACACTGTTTAAAAAGGTGTCACTATTGGAGGGAATTCTGAGCAGTAGTCAGGAATCATGTACAGTGATCAATGTAAATTCCAACATCTGCATCAATGGCTTCTGCTCATCAAAATCACTCCAAGATTATCTGTTCCCAGGGGATGAGCTGCCTTCAAGAAACCTCTGCTTGAGATTCTAAAGAAGGGGCCACTGATTTTCTGGTTAAGTTCCAAGTCTATGGATTTAACAACAGACATGTTTTAAATTTCTTTTCCTCGTAAATTTAACAATCATCAAGAAACACACATTTCAATGTAAAAAGAAGAATAAACTGTGACATCTCATTGTTGTCATGTAAAAAGATAACTTATGGACCTCAGTACGGATTAATCATCTTCAATGAGGCTTCAGAGCACCACAGAGTAATCTGTGCTTTTTCTGAGCATATGTGGTTATTATAAAGAGTAAAAATAATAAGCCATTATTTTGTTACTGCCTCTTAGCTTTACCAAGCATTACAAGCTGGGGCTATGTCAGGGGCTCAAAATTTGGGTGAAAAGAAACCTCAGTTCCCTAAGTCTGAAAGCCCAAGATCTGCCCCATGCAACAAATTGAAATAAAAAAGAGTGACTCTAAGCAATTAAAAAAAAACAACTTAGACTGATATTTCCTACTGATCATTTCTTAAACATTTCTAAACCTGGCAACAGTCCTCAGAACGATCTATGCTAAGCTTCACTCATAGGAAAGAAGACATTACTCTAATTTCTGTTGCCACCTGTGATACTTAACACGTTGCTTGATAATAAAAGTTTGACACTTTGGAGGTGCTCCTAGAGTCAAACTTAGAGAATTAGATAAGTGGAGAATAATGATGTGAGTTGGAAAGCTGAGTGAGTTGGGGTAAAATCAAAAAATAAAAGGGCAATATTGGCTCACTAAGAAATGAATAGAATTCTGTGCATGATGGCTTTTACAAGATGGGGGTGGGAGCATGTCAACTTGGGGCAGAGTCATATCCATTAAGACACAACTCAAAAAGCATTAACTTGGTCCTCTTTCCCTAGGAGGCATCGGCTGTGTTTACTCTATTATCTGGTTTTCTCTGGTTTACGATGACCCTATGGAACACCCATTCATAAGTGACAGTGAAAGAAAATACATTATTTCTTCATTGGCTGAACAGGTGTGTTAAAAATAACAGCTGACTTGGGAAAAAGTCTTTGTATAAAATTTCTTAGATACTGATTTGGTATCCTAGACATGTGAACAACCAGTGAATATGTAAAATACCAAAAGTAATTTTCCAATAGATACGTGGTCCAGGGATATACATTAATGATACTCAAAAGACAAATTGCAAACTATTTATAGCTATGTAAAGAATGTTCTAAATTACTAATAATGAGGAAAAATGCAAGTCAAAACAAAGCTGAAGTCTTGCTTTACACCCAGAAATTGCCATATATGACAAAAGATGGGAATAGTTAGCTTTGAACAAGCTGTGAAATGATAAGCACATTGTGATAGAGCTGTGGATTATTACAAGCATTTTGGCCAGCAATTTAGAATTATGTGAATTAAGTGACTAAACTGTCAATACCACTTGACCTAGAGATTCCACTATTAGGCATATACCTCAAGGAAGATGATGATGACCATTAAAGGGGCACGTACACCAAAGCATTTATAGGATTGCTTTTTGCAAAGAACTGGAAACAACAAAAATGTCCATGAATTGAGGAATAGCTAAACAAACCGTGACACAGGAATGTAAAGGCATAGGACAGAGCTGTAAGAAATGACATGTGTGATAAGTACAGAGAAGCATGAAAACAGCTACATGAACTAATTAGAGAGAAGTCAGCGAGAGAAGTCAGCCGAGCCAAGCCAAGAAAACAATATACAAAATGAATACAACAATGGAAATGGAAAGAACAACCATCACAAAACTACTGAATGTTCGAAAGAGAGCTAAGAGCTTGGAAAAAGAGGTACAAAACTTTACCTGAACAGCGAACTCAGTGAAAATTAAAATGGGCCCCAAATGGAAGATAATGATTACATGAGACAACAAAAATGTTTAAAACAAAGCCAAAGGACCAAGAAACTTGAAGAAATGTGAAATATAGCAAAACAAATGACCAAAAACCAGAGGAGACAGAATTTAAGAAATTCAGGACTACCTGAATACCACACCCAAGGTGCTAGCAATGAAAAGGTTTTCATAAGAAAACATTAGGATAGGTTTTCATATGGAAAACTGAGAAAGCTCAATGCTTTAACACACCGAACTCCAAAATTCTGAGGATTTGGCCTAAGTCAAATCTAGAGTTGTTTTTAAGAGGTACTACAATATTTTTCAAAGTTTCAGCATATGAAAAGTTTCTATATAGATATTCTATATAAATGTTTTATTTATTCTTTTTATTCCCTATCATTTCCTCGTCAATGAATGAATACGAGAAGTAGAGTTAGAACTCGTATAACAACACATAATAAAAATACAAACTAATATTGTAAACAATGGGGGAAAAGAGAAATGTATATACACAGAGAAGAGGGCAGGCAAATAAAATAATTAGAGTAAATATCTGGGACTTTCTTTTGCTCTGGCATATTACTTAATCTAAAGGGAGCACAAAATTAATATTAGAGACATCTCTAGCACAATTTTCCACTGAAAATATGCCTTTGATTTTATAACCTTATAGTTTTTGAAATATTCTGCACCTTAATATATTCTTTGTTTTCTAGCTATTTTATTGAAAGCTACTAGCAAAGCAAATACATAAGACCTGCTTTAATTTGATGAAAAGAATAGAAAAGTGAATGCTTCAGAATTACAAAGACCAAGTTTGGCCAAAGAAAAGATGTTGAGAAGACACCTCCCTCAACCCCACTGCAGAGATGAGAGGTGTACAACATGGCATTTTGAGACTTTTGCCGTATATTGATCAGTTTTACTGATTTCTTTTTCTTGTGTTCCTATTTTTTTTTGAAAAAAAATTTTTTGTTATAAAGACGGCTCTCTGAAGAAGAAGAAGAAGTAGAAGAAGAAGAAGAAGAAGAAGAAGAGAGATATGGGATAAATTTAGGCAAAGCAAAAATAAAAAATATTGGCAAAAATTATTTTTAAAAAGAATGGTAGCTTTTCCATAGTGCTTAATGCTTTACAAAGTAAATTTATATATCTCTATCTATCTATCTATCTATCTATCTATCTATCTATCTATCTGTCTATCTACCTATGTACATCCTTACAACAAAGGTAAGGGTAGTAAGAAAATGTTACTATCCCTATTTAACAGGTGAAAAAAAAACTATAGCCCAATAAAATGAAGAAAGTTATCTCAGGTCACACAGCCAATAAAGGACTGAGCTGTCTTGAACTCAAGTCTCCTGTAGCCACCTTCAATGTTATTTCCTCGACATCATGCAATCAGAATTGAATGGCTCTGAGGGCTGTTCCTTAAGTTGCACCTATATTGGTCACAAGTGGTCAACACATCAGAAGTCATAAGAAAAAGGCTCCAAATCACTAATAACAGAAAGGGAAATGAACACAATTAGAAGGATTGGACTTTACACCCATAAAATTCACTAAATAAATAAGGGATGAAAATAGTATCTGTTGGAGGGACTGCAAAAAGAGAAACCCACAGGTGCACCATGTATTAGTTGAGCTTTGAATTGGCCCAACTGTTGTTGAAAATAATTTGGAATTATGTGAAAAAAAGTGATGAAAATATACAGAACTATTGAACTAATATTACTACAGCAAGATATACATTCCAAAGGTCAAGGGAAGATGGAAAGCTTGGAATAGCAAAATATTGACAGTGCCATTTTTTCTTAGTAACAAAAGCCTAGAAACAAAGTTGCCTACTGATTGGAGAATGGCTAGACAATCATAAAAATGAACAAAATGGAATATCTTATTGTCATAAGTATTTCAAACTATGCAGAATTCTAAAAAAAAAAATACTCCAGAAGACTTGTTATCACCTGATGCAGAGCAAACAAAGCAGAACAGAGAACAATGGACACACTGGCCATGATAATGTAAACAATCCAAGAGAGTATTGCAGTTGGAATTAGGGTGAAGATCAGCCTTGACTCCAGAATTGTAAGGATGAAACAACATAAAGAAACAAGTAAACAATAAATGGTGAAGTCCGGAAATAGTATCAGTGTGCTTTAATTGTCTCCTCTCTGCTACAAGGGAGGAGTCCATGGAGTCAGGAAAGTCATGTGAAGAGGTGACACAGGTGTTTGGGGGAAGGCAGAGGGAGAGGAAAAGTATCAAAACAATTTTTAAAAACTAAAAATGTTTGTGACAGCCTGACCAACGTATTGATAATTTGATTTTCCTTCTAGGCCAGTTCCCCTAATTGGTCTTTGCCTTTCAAAGCTATGATGAAGACTCTGGCAGTTTGGGCCATTATAATAGCTAACATTTGTCGATTCTGGTTAACTTGCAACTTAACAATATCGCTGCCAACACTATTAGATAATATGTTTGATTTAAACTTTGAAAAGGTAAGTTTATAATTCCTGCCTACTCTTCATTTATCTAATGGATTTTTTGATCAAGCAAGTACTTATGATGTTCAAGGCACTGGTTAGGAACTGGGCATTCAAAGGAAAAAAAAGACACAGTCCTTGCTGTCAAGCAACTTGCATTGTATTGGAGGAGACAAGTATAAATAAATAAGAATATATGAAATAAATACTGGAGAAGTTAGGAGGAAGGGGACTAGTGGATGGAGGATCAGGAAAGGCTTCATATAGAAAATATCACATAACCAGAGGTTTAAAGGAAATGAGGGATTCTAAGAGGCAGAGATGAGGTGAAGAAGAGTATGTTTCAGGGATGAAGGAGACAGCCAGTGAAAAGGTACAGAGATGGTAGATTGAATGTTTGTACCGTTCTTACATTTCTAACATTAACAACATTCTTATTTTTAAGGCAAAAAATCTTGTTTTGTGAGAAAACCAGGGAGGATCAGAGATGGTAGTCCCAGAGACAAAAGTGTCAAACTGTCTGTGTTTTCTTTCCATGGCAGTAAGCCAGAAGAGAGGAGAGTAGGGCTTGAAGTATGGTGGTGGAAATGTTGAGTAGGGAGAAATGAATGTATACAAGATACACAACAGGGGTAGAAGTGATGAGATTGGGTGAGTGACTGTATATGTACAGTTCCTTATCTTGGTCACTGGGTTGATGTCACAATGGGAACATTCAGGAGAGGGTTGGGTTTAAGGGAAAGTTGAGTACTGTTTTGGATGTGTTGAATTTGAGATGCTTAAGTTAGATGTTCCAACAGTCAGTTTAAGATGCATAGCCAGAAAAAAAAATGAATGAATGAATGAATGAATGAATAAACAAACAAATAAGTTAATGAATGAACAAATGAATAAATGAATAAATAAATACATAAATAAATAAATATGCAAATAAATAAATAGATAAATAGATAAATAAATAAATGGAAAGATCCATGGCCAGAGCTTCAGAGAAAGACTCAAGGTGGATTATAGATCCGGGAGTTATTGGTAGAAAGATGTAATTAAAGCCATGAGAGCCAATTCACTCACCAGATAACAGAGTATAAAGAGAGAAGAGAGCCCAAGACAAAGATTTAGGTCACACCTACAGTTATAAGGTGTGATGTAGAGTATGAAATAGCACCTGCGACTGAGAAGAAACAGTTCTACAAGTGGGAGGAAAGAGAGTACTGGTACCACGAAAATCCAAAGAGGAGCTAGGATCAGGTAGTTAATTGTCAAATGCTGAAGAGGTCAAGGATTATTTCAGTTCTCAATTGATTCCCACACAGGCAACACACCTGACCTCTCTGAAACCACAAATCATTGAACAGTAGTTAGAGAGGGCTCTTAAACCTGTACAGGGGCTCTTAAGCGTTTCTCTGTAATGGACCCTTTGGGCAATTGGTCTGGTGAAACCTATGGGCCCCTTCTTGGAACAATGTTTTAAAATGTATGCATTTTGGCACTCCTGGCACAGAGCAGGTTCTCAATAAATTTGATTGATTTACATAGGATCATAAACGGAACCAACATTATTGACACAGTTATCAAAATATTTTTTAAAAGTCCAGCAATCTTAAATCTATAAATCTGATTTAGTACAAAATCCCCACTTAAAAAGAAAAAGAACATGAGCCCCAGAGGGGTAAAATTATTTATCCATGATTCCATAGTGATGGCAGAGCCAGGAACTAAATGAACCCAACGTGTTTGGTTCCCAGTCCAATGTTGTCTTTACTACTTCAAGTTATCTGTATGACGCTTCTTATAGCTCTCTCTCTCTCCTTCTGTCTCTCTCTCTCTCTGTCTCTGTCTCTGTCTCTCTCTCTCTCTCTGTCTCTGTCTCTCTCTCTCTCCTTCTCTCTCTCTGTCTCTCTGTCTCTGTCTCTGTCTCTCTCTCTCTCTCTCTCTCTCTCTCTCTCTCTCTCTCTCTCTCTTCTCTCTCTCTCTCTCTCTTTCTCTCTCTCTCTCTCTCTCTCTCTCTCTCTCTCTCTCTCTCTCTCTCTCTCTCTCTTTTGAGGCAATGGGGGTAAGTAACTTGCTCAGGGTCACACAGCTAGTGAGTGTTATGTGTCTGAGATCACATTGGAACTCAGGTCCTCCTCACTCCAAGGCCAGAGTTCTATCCACTCTGCCACCTAGCTGCCCCCTTATATCTCTCTTGGAATACAATGGTTGAAGTATAACCAAGGAGAACATATATGGACTCTATAACATTTCACTTAAGGATTTTAGAGTATAGTCAGCAACATGCCTGAAAGCAGCCTCTATCTGAAACTATCTCCTCTGCTTACTATGGGAGTGCCTGTGATTTAGGAATCACTCCTTTAGGTTTTTTCCTAACATAAGCATCTGTAATTTCTTTAAATGCAAATTCCTTTGGGAAGGGTGAGATACTAACTTGGTTACCAGTCATTGGAACCTTAGTGTGACTTAGTATACAAGAAATCAGAAATGGACAAAGTCCATGTGGTCCTCTTGGCAAAAATACTGGAGTGGTTTACCATTTCCTTCTCAGCCTTATTTTATACATGATGAACTGAGGCAAATGACGTTAAGTGACTTGCCCAGGGTCACACAGCTAGTAGGTGTCTGAGGCCACATTTGAACTCAGGAAGATGAATCTTCCTGAGTCCAGACCCAGCGCTCTATCCTCTTTGCCACCTAGCTGCCCCAGGTTACCACTCAATTAGTTTAAGCACAATAACATAATGCTCTAACTCAAAAATAAGTGCTCTATTCCAACTTTCTGTGCTGCTTTGCAACAGTTAGCTGAGAAGAGAGACCTGAAGAAATTGGAATTTTGATGGAAGGAGCCAAAAGGAATAATTTCAGGTTGTATAGTACTGATACCATTTACTACCAATGTGGGATGTATGGGATGTTAAAGGAGGACCAGCACCTCTGGTGTGAGGTCTTGCTGAGCCTTCTTCAGGGCTGATCACCCACCTCTGCTATCGACTTGTTATCCAACTCTTCTCTGTAACATATACAGTGGTCACCCCCTGGTAAAACCATCTTGTCAGATAGGCTAAACCAGGTTGAGGGTAACTGACAAGCCTCAAACACATTGGTGGTAGGGGGATGTCTGCCCCAAGTATGTGAAGACCTCCCTCAGTGGCATGGGCAGATGAGAACAATTTGTCCCAATAGCCATGAAGGCAGCTGAATCAGGCACTGTGGAGTACTTAGAGCTTGGTCAGACATCAAAGGTTCCAAGGTCATTCATTGCACCCAGAAATTGCAAGTCATCTTGACTTTTGTCCTGCCACTGGACTTCAATGACCCAGGAAGAGAGAGTGAGACTGATGACTTTTTGCAACTCTGCCTCACTTAAGTCCAATTTACACGCAAGTCAAGACATCACCAATCATCCACTATTTTACCCCAATATCATGATGTTATTGGTCCTCTTTGAAAATGATAGATGAGCTACCTATGGGCTCTTGGGCCAGTCCCTTAAACCAATCTGGGCCTCAGTTTTTACATCTATAAAAAGAGGGGGTTGAATTAGATGAATGTTAATGACCCCCTGGCCATAAGTTTATGTACCTAAGGTAAAGGTTCTCTGCACTCTGAGTGCATGAGGGGATCTGTGTTTTCTCTGCACCAACAAGCAAAGATGTACACTTAGGAGGGAGACTGAATGAATCAAACACAAATCTCATCTACTACTTTTGCCCAGCAGCCTGTCTCTGTGACCAGTTTAGATAAGAGTACACCTTGCTGCTATGGATGAATGAATGAATAGAATGCATGCCCACCTTACTCAATTCTGCACAATTTCTTCTCCATAGAATGGGTTTCTGAGTGCACTGCCTCTCATTACTTCATGGATCAGTATGACTCTGGGAAGTAAAATAGCTGATTTCCTCCTGTCCAAGAAGATTCTCAGACTCATCACAGTTCGGAAACTCTTCACATTTGTGGGTAAGGACAGTGTCATATATTCCACCATTTCGAGATTTCTTGCCATTTATTTCAAAAGTGAGTTGAGTAAATAATCACTTACTAAGCAGCCACTATGCACAATGTCCCATGTACTCAAGATACAAAAACAAAGGGGGCAGCTAGGTGGCACAGTGGATAGAACAGTGGCCCTGGAGTTAGGAGGACCTGAGTTCAATTCTGGTCTCAGACACATAACCCTCACTAGCTGTGTGATTCTGGACAAGTCACTCAACCCTAATTGCCTCACCAAAAAAAAAAAATTATAAAAACAAGCAAAAAGATAGTCCCTGTCCTCAAAGCGTATTTTCTAATGGGAAAGACAACACATGTATGCATTTTTGTGTTCTTGTGCTCTCCAGGAATGTTTTTCCCATCTTTATTCACCGTAGCTATCCCATATGTTGGCTCTACTACTGCTGTAACCTTTATGATACTGGCTAGCTCAGCAAACACGCTGTGTTTCTCTGGATTCTTCATTAATCCCCTAGACTTTGCTCCCAGGTAAGATGCTCTGCCTTCTTTCTTCTTCCTCTGGCAGTGTGCAATTGTGGAAAGAGGCTTAATGCAAATCCCAACTCCAACACTCTTTTGGGGAAGAAGGAGGGGACAATCAAAAAGATATGGCAGCTTGGGTTGTAAGAGAGTGAGGAGTGAGTGAAATGTTCAAACCTGGAAGGATGATGATATGCTTACAAAAATAGGGAAAAACTAAGTTGGACAGTGCTAAAAATAGAGATAGTTGAACCCATGGGAGCTCATCTGTTAAGACAGGGAGCAGAGAGGGAAAAGGAAAGGAGACTGAGGAGGAGTGGTCAGAAAGGAGAAGGAGACAGTAACCAGGAATAGGAAGTGGTCAAGAGTGTCCAAAACTACAAGGAAATTGAGTTAAGGTTAAAGAATAAGTTAAAGATTCAGAAAAATACCCTAGATTTGCAATTGAGAAATTGTTAATAACCTGGAGACAACCTGTGGCCATTATGAGTGGTATAGGAAACCAGACTGGAATTAATGTACATGGGAGTGAGAAGTAAGAAAAAGGAGAGCAATGAGTGCAGTTGACCCTTTCTGGACATTTGGGTGCAAAAGAGAAGGGTAGAAACAAGAAAGAGTTTGATTGAATGGCAGTATAATGGGAAAGACTTTTAAAGATGGGCAGGGGGTAGGGAAGGGAACCTAGGTAGGTTTCTAGGCAGAAGGGAAGGACCTGTAGAGATGGCAAGACTGATCTTTAGATATAATTCCCAAGGGAAATGGGAGAGCATCAAGTTCACACGTAGAGGGGTTGGCTTTGGTGAGGAGAAGGTGTGGTTCATTATCAGAGATGTGAGCAAAGGAGGAGAAGACAGTCAGTAATGTGGAGGTGGACTGAAAAATAGGAAAGGAAAGTGAGTGAACGTGTGTGGCAGCCAATTAGGAAGAATCAAAGGTGCATCAGGTAATGAAATAATTACGAAGACAATCCAGCATTGAACTTTGGCAGAGTCCAAGCAGCTATAGAACAAGGGAACAAGTCAACAAGCATTTACTAAGCCCCTCCTATGTTTCAGGCACAGGGATAGGAGCTGGACATACAAAGAGGAGAAAAAACAGCCCCAGGGCTCAGAGATAACATAAAAACAACTATTACAGACTCACTCTCTCTCTCTCTCTCTCTCTCTCTCTCTCTCTCTCTCTCTCTATATATATATATATATTATATATTATATATATATATATATATATATATACATATGACAAATTAGAGATTAATCTCAGAGGGAAAACAGTAGCACTAACGAGGAAGCAGAAAAAGTTTCTTGCAGAAGGTAGGATTCTAGGTGGAGTACAGTGTGTAGCTTCATATCAGTTCAAGATGCAAAGATGCTTGCTGAAATGCACTGAATTGATGACACTATTCATAATGCCTGAGCATAAAGTTTCTTTACAATCAACAAGCCTTTCATTTTTCTCGTTGCACTTTCCTTATCAATATTTCACAACATACTTCTAGCTGTTGTGTTCTGGTCCTATCTTTGCATTAAAGTCTTGAAGTAGTGATGTCTATGTTGATTTAATTTGGAAGGTCTTATACAGTCCTTTATAGAATTGCTCTTCCATTTCATCCTTTGAACACAAGTTGGTATGGAAACTACATTTTTTTTTTCATGGCCCTCTTTGCTTTTTTTTTTTTTTTTATAAATACTTGAATGGGCATGCAATATGAGATTACTAAACATCCCATGAAAACCTGTTTCTTGTAGCCATTAGATGTAAGATAAAATCAGCTCCACCATCCCCTTCATTTGTTTATCCCAGGAGACCTTTGAAACCATCTTTCAGTTCAACTGCAACTTCCTTCTGTCTTCTGCCTTTATTGACAGCGAGGATGACAAAACTGATACCATCCAGTTCCTCCAAGAGTATACCTATTTGGTTGGCTAGTGGACAAGGTTCTTACACGTAAGGCAGCAAAGGCTAAATTCATAGTTGATATACAAGTGTTATGATTCTTAGCCCCTCAATTCCCTTTTCTGCTACCCTGTCCCTGCCACTGAAGAAACCAAAAATGGCTACACTAAAGTGAGGACTATTTCCTATGTTTCTTTGTTTCTTGGGTTGCTATTACCAAATATCCCCATGCAAATAGCTCAATAAAGAAGAGCCACTCTGTATTTATGTCACATTTGCTCTCTAAGAAGAAAACTCTATTTATTTCCAGGATTTGAAAAACCCAGAGCCTTTCCATCATAGCAGAACCAGACAAACCACTGTCTGCTAGGATAGCCTTCAAAAACCCAGGGTCCCTCATGTGTTGCAATCAGTCTACAGAATAGGACTTGTATGAAGCTTTTTAATACTTTCCTTATACAGGTTCCTATGTATTCTTTTGTAACCTTAACCCCCTAATTGTGACATTATGAACAGTGCACAATATAGTAGGATTATCATTTCATTTCTGCCACCTTTTAATGTAGGGCAAAGTCACCATTATATTTGGTTTCACAGGGGGAGGTCTAAATAAATAAGTTTTATAGCTTAGATACGGGCTTAGTTGATAATGGATAATCACACCACATGTGGTGGGAAATACTCCAGGTCATTTATCAAAGCCAGACTTGTGTAGAGTGAGTTTCTAAATCAGAAATTGGTCAAGGGTTTGAGTTGATCATCAGAGACCCAGGAATAGAAGTGGTTCTGCAGTCGACCTTGTAGTCTCATGAATCAGGACTTGTGATTAACTGCTTGACATAGGATGAGAATAAGTCAGTGGAAAAGTAGAAGCTCTTGTCATTGCTTATATGTTTATGGTTATTAAAACCACTCAGCCTAAATGACTCCTTATTGGGTTCTATCATTTATAACTACAACATCAAATAAACATCACAGTTATCACACTCTTATTAGCTTTCATGATTGCTTGATAATGAGGATAGCATGTAATGGCTCTTTAAGGTTTGTGAAGCACTTTACAAGTATTGTTTCACCTTATCCTCACCATAGCCCTGGGAGGGGGGTTGTATCATTATACCATTTACAGATGAGAAAACTAAGGCAGAGAAAGGGTAAGTGATTTGCCCAGGATTGCACAGCTAACAAGTGTGTGGGGCCAAATCAGTTCAGGTCTTCTTGACTGTAGGTCCAGAATGCTATCCACCATGCCTTCTAGCTGCCTAATATCATACTGGTGATAAGATGGAGACTATGGGTTACTAAAACCACCAGATCTTTTTCAGACAAACTTCTAACCACATCCACCCCTTGTGCTCCTATAAAGTTGGTATTTCGTATGCACATATAGCACTTTACATTTATCCCCTTTAATTTTCATAGTATTCAATTTGGCCCAACAACACTATCTTTGAAGATTATCTTTCTTTAATTTCCTAACTCTTGCATCCAGGCCCCCAGGTTTTGTTTTCATTTGGGGGTTTGGGTTTTTTTTTGCAGGGGGTAATTTTTAAAATTGTAAAATTAAATATAAAACAAGAAAAGAAAAAAGAAACAAAATTAAAACAAACTTAAATAAAGCTAAAATGCAAAATAAGAAAAGAAAAAAATGCCAGGTGCACAGCAGAACATAAGAATGGATTCAAAATATAAAGAAATAAATTTCTGTTTTAAGAGAGCCATACAATAAATATTATGCATTATGTTCAGGACTGTCTGTCTCTTCTTTACTTCCACATAGATTTTATTTTGTTCTCTGCTGTCAATTTTTTACTTTGTTCTATTATCCCCCTTCCTTTCCACCTTCCCCAAGAAGGCTACAATTAAGCATGTATGTGTGTGTATACACACATACATATATACATATGTACGCATATGCATAAACACATCCATACATATACACATACATACACTTCCACATACATACACATAGATATCTATAATCTCACACAAATATACACATATATATTCATGTGCATCTATGTACAATTGTACTATACTTGCTTGTAGTCTGTTTCTGTAAGGGTGGTTAACATCTTCCTTCATAAGTCCAAGTCTTTCCAAATTTTTCTAAATCCACCAACTCATCATTTCTTCCACCACAACAATATTCTAACCTTATACTGTCTACTTATTTTAAATAGTCTAACAGAGCTGGGGAACCCACAGCCTTAAGGCCATATGTGACCTTCTAGGTCCATAAGTGCAGCCTTTGGGGTAAGCCCAAATTTTACTTCCTTTTAATAAAAGGATTTGTTCTGTAAAATTTGGATTCACCCACCCCTGGACCAATATTGATTAATATGGCTGTCATACACTGTAGTTTCCTTATTTTTCTCTTTTGATTAAGTCTATTTTAGCTTTCACTTTATCTGAGATTGTGATTACGACCCTAACATTTTTCCCTAATAAATTCGATTCCTGAATTTTACTTTATTTAATGCTTGTCTGTATCTCTTATTTCCTATCCCTCCTAACTTCTCTGCTTTTCTTCTACCTGCTATCTTGCCCTGCTATTACTTAAGCTATCTCCTCCTCCACAGCACAGATCCCTCCCATATGCTTTCCTCCCCTTTATACTTCCCCCCACACTTTCCCCTTGACCTCTTGTTTCTATCTGAATTTTGAAGACTTTTATAGCCATCCAAAATATGTTATTCCCCTTCAATCCCATTTCCATTATGTAAGCACCCTTCTACACCCCCCTTATCCTATTCCCTCACCTTCTTATTCTTTATAGATATAGAAGACTTTTATTCCCTTCTAAATGAATATAGTATTCTCTCTTTAACCCAGATCTGATGTGAGTAGGGTTCCCTTCAAAAATCATCCCTTATCTTCTCTCCCCCGCATCCCCTTAGCCTTTTAGTTCTTTCTGAATTTTATACCCTTCTAGATACATATGTAGTATTCCCTCTTTACCCCATTCCCAATGAAAGTAGGGTTCCCCAAGTACCAGCCCTGCTCCATCATCTAATTCCTCTGTGTCAGTTCTTCCTCTCACACTTCATTTGTATAAGATAATTACATTTTTTACCTTTTCCTAGGTGGTATTACTTTTTAGAATCACATCATACTCAGCTCTGCCCCAATCTTTTCTTTCAAACTCCCAGTTACTAATTAAAGTCTTAGAATACAGTTTATATTTCCTAGTATAAAAGTAAAGTCTGTCCTTATTAAGTCCCTTGTAATTACTCTTTGATGTCTATCTTATATTTCTCTTGAATCTTGTATGTCAAATGTTCTACTCAGTTCAGGTCTTTTTGCAATAAATCTTGAAAGACTGGCAATTCATCGAATGCCCCCCACTTTTCTTCCATTCAATATTATACTAGACTTTGCTGGGTATGATATTTTTGGCCAAAACTCCAGTTCTTTTGCTCTTTCACATACAGTGTTCCAAGAACACTTCAAGTATAGCCACTGCTAGGTCTTGTGTGATTCTAATTGTGGCTCTGCCTATACTCAATGTTCTTTTTTTCTTGTTGCTCATATTTTCTCCTTCAGCTGGGAGTCTCAGAATCTAGCTATGATATTCCCATAGGTATTACACGTAGGATCTCTATCAGGAGGTGATTGGTGGATTTTTCGTATTTTTACGTTCCTCTCTTGTTTTAAAACTTCAGGACAATTTAAATATTTCTTGTAATATTGTATCAAGATTCTTTTTCTGATTGCAGCTTTCAGGTAGTCTGATCATTGTTATGTTTTCTCTTCTTGATCTGTTCTCCAGATCAGTTTTTTCTCCTTGTGGGATATTTCACTTTCTCTTCTATTTTTTCATTCTTTATATTTTGTTTTGTTATTTCTTGGTCTCTCATAACTTCCCTGCCTTCCCCTTGCCCAGTTCTAATTTTCAAGGAGTAATTTTCTTCCTTTTCTTTTCTTTTTCCTTTTCTTTTTTTCTTTTTTTTTGGCAAGGCACTTGGGATTAAGTGACTTGCCCAGGGTCACACAGCTAGGAAGTGTGAAGTGTCTGGTCTGACATCGGATTTCAACTCAGATACTCCTGACTCCAAGGCTGACGCTCTATATCCACTGCACCACCTAGCTGCCCCTATTTTCTTTCTTAAGATTTGGGATCTCCATATCTACTTGGTTGACTCTTTTCACAATCTTCTTAGTTTTTTTGGATTATTTTTCTTTATTTTTCCTCAATCTCTCTCATTTTAATTTTAAAAGTCTTTTTTTTTAAGTTCTTCTATGAATTCTTTTTTAGGCAGGTGACTATCTGACATTGCTTTTTGGAATAGGAAAGGCTTTTTAAAAAATTCAATATCCTTCTCTGAAGATGAACCCTGGTCTTCTCTATTCACATAGTAACTTTCTATGGTTGGGTTCTTCTTTTTTGCCTGCTCATTTTTAAAAATTATATACCAATTTGTTGTTGTAATCACCTGCAGTCCTTGGATATGGGGGGTGGTGCCTCTGGCCTCAGGTCCTCCTGTGGTTGTGCTCTCTGGCCTGGAACTGAAACCAAGAACTCTGCCCTCCTGTAAGTGTCCACAGCCAGGGGAATCCTTCAAGTCCCAGAAGTGCACTGCTTCTGCACTTACCAGACATGTGCTGGCTGCTTCTCACCCAGGGCTGTGTCTCAACAGCACAGCTGGGCCTGGCCCTCCTCATCAGCAGAGGCTCCCTCAATCTTCCCCACTCAGATGCCCAACTCCCCACATTGTGCAGGAGGTGAAAATTTCTGTGGCTGAGGCCAAGGCTGCCTCCCAACACAGCTAGCCCCAGAGCTTGCCGCTTCCTATTTCAGCAGAACTAGCCTGTAAATGTTCACATTTCGTAGGTTTTCTTCCAGTCTTCTTTGCTTGTCTCAGGAGGGCTACAGTTCTGTCCCAACTCTTGTTTATTTTTACCACCCCAGATTCACCTTGAGGCACTATTTTGTCTTGTTTGTGGGGGAAATCCGGACAGCTTAGAATTTTCTGACTTACTCCACCCTCTTTTCAGAATCCCCCTCCCTGGTTTTTCATCATCTGTAAATGATTAAGATGCTATGTATGAGACATAACCAGACACAGACCTCTTAGGCATTCCACCAAAGACCTCTTGACAAGCTGATGTCCAACCAGTAATTATCATTCTTTGTAACTAATCGTTCAACTGGTTTTCACTTCATCTTCCTGTCCTATCACCCAGCCTGTGTCTTTCCATCTTTTCTACAAGAATACCTTGCAAGATTTTGCAAAGTGCTTTTACAAAATCTCTATAAATTTTTACTTTCCTAACATTTCTCTGATCTACATGTCTAGTAGTCCCACCAGAAAGGGGAATGAGATCAGTTTGGCATGACCTGTTCTTGATGAGGCCAGGCTGGCTCTCTGTCATGACTACTTCCTTTTCTTTGATGCTTATCAGCAATCTCTTTCATAATGCATTCCAGATTTAGGTCAGGAATTACAATCAACTTCACTGACCTATAGTTTGTAGACCTCATTCTCTTCCCTTTTTTAATAATTTGGAAAACATTTATGGCTCTTCTTAACATTCTTTCAAAAATCAACCACAGTATTTCAGCAAACACATCTACCTGTTCTTTCTGTGCTCAAGGGCATGATTTATTTGTGCCGGATGACTTGAACTTTTTAAAGCTAGGTAACTCAGTGGATAACATGGAAATTAGTCAGGAAGATGTGAATTCAAATCTTGCCTCACAAACTCACTTGCTGTGACCCTAAGCAAGTCAATTAACTTTTCTCTGTCTCAGTTCTTTCATCTGTAAAACTAGAATACTTATATATAGCTCACTAGGTTGTTGTGAAGCTCAAATGAGTTAACATGTATAAAGAAGAGCTTTGCACATCTTGAAGCACTATATAAATGTTAGCTATTATTATTTACTAGGTGCTCTTATCATTTATTTACTTATCTTGGGTATCATCTTCCAATGAGATATTCTTTTCTGTCCTTTCCAGTACAAAGATAATTCTCTTTGGCAAACAGGGAAAAAAAAAAAGTTGAGCAGCTCTGCCTTCTCTCCACTCTTAATCATCTCACCCACCCCAAGCAGTAATCACCTCCCTTCCTTGAACATTTTCTCCTCCCTAATACAGCTGTAAATCAACTCAAACTTTATTATCCTAAACTATCTCACCAGCTCATATACAAACATTTATTATGTACTGTTCATTCCATCTTTGAAATCTCTCTCAAATTCAGTCTCTGCTCTATTTTCATTAAAACCACCTTAGCAGTGGTTAGCATTGCCACCTTCCTGGATTACTGCATTATTATTCTAACGTGTCTTATTGCTTCAACTCTGACAGGCAGTGTGGTATAATGAATGGTGAATTTCATGTGGGATACCAAACCCAAGGTTCAAATCCTGCCTCTGATATTTTATAGCCTTTCAGTCATGGGAAAACCAACTCGGTGGGCTTCAAGTTTTCTCATCTGTTAGATGGACACATGAGGATCTACCTTGGCACTCAAATGACAAAATGTGCATAAAAGTTTGGGTAACTTTTAAAATGTTGTCTAGGGATGAACTCTGAGTGCAGTTTGAAGTACACTTTTTTTTTTAACTTTTGATTTACTTTCTGTTTTCTTTAGCAACATGGCTAATATGGAAATACGTTTTGCATGATCTCACGTGTATAAGTAAAATAAAATTGCTTATCTTCTCAAGGGAGGGGGAAGGGTGGGAAGGAGAGCATTTGGAACTCAAAATGTTTTTAAAATGAATGTTAATTTTTTCTACATGCAATTGGGAAAACTTAATGAAATAAAAAGTATTTAAATTGAAATAATGCTATCTAAACATAAGCTAGCATTGATTCTTTCCCTCCCAGCTCACTTCTAATCCATCTTTTTCATGGTTCCCAAAATAATCTTTCCTTATGCACAGACTTGGTCAGGTTATTTTTCTTCTCAAAGAAAGGAAATCTTCAGTGACCCTCTACTGCTGAGCAAAGAAAATTTCAGTTTGGTTGTCCAGGGATTTGAATTCTACTAGAGGAAGATGACACAAACTCAAATAAGAAAGCTGAAGCTTACATAAAGTAATAAAAACAACTTCAAGGGGAAGAGAGAAATAAGGATCCAACCTCCCTCTCCCCTTTTAAAGCATGGTAGGCTTTTCATAGTGCTTATATTTTCAGCCTTATATCTTAGAAGATGCTTTCTTATGCTCTAGTAAAACTGGATTATTCTTCACCCTGGTGCCTGCCCTGTACTTTCCAGCCTTCCTGCTTTTGCTTAATTGTTCCCTGTGACTAAGCTATCTTTCCATCTCCTTGTTACTTATTGAATTCCTACCCATCCTTTAACAATTCAAATGTCACTTTCTTCATGAAGCCTTCTGGGAGCTCCACTTTGTAACAACATCTTCTCTTTCTTCCCAATAGTCATAAGGACTAGCTGTATTTGGCCACCGAAATCAGAATTAAAAGCAATGGCAAAGGGAAAGGAGGAGAAAAAAATGGAGAGAAGTTGCCAAGAAGCTGACTTGGCTTAATCCACTGAAAAAATGTAGAAGAGCTTAGAACTCCTAAAAAGTGGACAAAAGCTCCTCCCTTGGGAACCCATTTTCCTTCATAGGTGGACTTCTAAGGAAGCCTGAATAACCATTTGTCAAGGATATTAATAGAATTGTATATCAAGAACTGCAAGGGACCAAAGACTCCACTTCACTTAACCCCTCATTTTACAGATAAGGAAACTTAGGCCCAGGAGGGTTGTTTAAGGTCTCCCAGTAAATTCAGTGGACTCCTGCTCAAGTAGCACTTGTAAGGTACTTTCGAAATTTGATACACTCTTCCCTAGGAATAAGAAATATATAGCATGTGAAAGGAAAGAAAGAAGGAAGAGAGAGACAGGGAGAGACAGAGACAGAGAGAGACAGAGAGACAGACAGAGAGAGAGACAGAAAAAAAACAGAAGACAAAAAAAGAGAGAGGAGAAAAAAGAGAGAAAAGTTGAAAGAGAGGGAGAAGAAGAGAGAGAGAGAGAGAGAGAGAGAGAGAGAGAGAGAGAGAGAGAGAATCAGTGCTCTGTTTGACCTAAAAACCTTTCTTCCCACAGATATGCTAGCTTTATCATTTCGCTGGGAACTACTGCCATGTTGATTTCAGGGCTCATTTCTCCCTGTTACTGGGTACTTCATCAACCAGGTAAAGCATCTACACTTAAAAAGTATTTGAACTCTGTGTAGAATAATCACTGAATGGAGACAAACACAGAGGAGGAAGATGAAATGGACTCAAAGGACTATAGAGTATGGAGCAGGAAGGAACTTTAGAGATTAGCTATTTTGACTCCTTCATTAACATAGGAAGAAAGTGAGGATCAGTGTGTTTGAGTGACCTACACAAGTAATAAGCAGCAGAGTACAAACTCCAGGCCCTTCCCACCAGTCACGCTTTGAGTTGGGATTGAGGAGGGAAGGCCACAGTTTAGGAGAAAACTCTCAGGGGGAGTCCCAGAAACAGGGAAGGGAAGAGGTCATTCCTTAGGCCAGGACTCCAGGTTACATTTCAGTGAGGAGGGAGAAGAGGGGCCACACAGCCATAGGTCTCTCTACTGGATACCTAGGAAAGGATCATCTGCTTTCAGAGCCTATTTCAGAGTCTCCCTGTTACAATCTGTATAGACAAGTCTCACTAGGTGGCAACAGGCTCAGTTCTCTATCTCTTACCTCATATTAAAGGTAGAAGGCTCAAAAATCCTACAGCCTGGCACCCCTCTACTGGGCAACTGGTAGGAAGGAAACCCAGCTGATAGGAGGCCACACAGAGAGGAAAGGACTCAGGCAAGTGGAGAAGGAGTAGGAGAGACCACAGCTAAAAAAACAAGAGGACCAGGACTCATCACCTTCTCCAGCCCCATGTCCCCCTAAAACACACACACACACTCATACATACTCACCTGAAGCAATAGGAGGGGCTGCAGTCTATTTCCAGGAATTCTAAAAGTTCACATTAAAATTCCTCAATAAGAACAATTCGTCTTTGTACAATGATGTGTATGAGTGTGTATGAACCTGTAATGTCATCGATTTAGGGAACTCCCTGAGAGGACATTCCCTGGCTCTGCAGCTAGAGTCTCAGAGTTACCTGAGTCAATGAGGACCTAAGTGATTTCACCAGGGTCCCAGAACTTAGTATGAGGCTGAAGAGAGACTTGAACACAAGCCAGTGCTTCACCACTGCTTCTCCAATGGAGGATTAAAGTTTACAAATCACTCTTCTCAGCCTATGAAGCAAGTTGTGCAAGGTTATTATCTCCATATCTTTATAGATAAGGAAATGGAGGCTTTGACCAAACAGGTGCTCCATGGTTACAAGATGAGTGTCAGAGTCTGCATGTATACGACATTTCCTCAAGCCAAATCCCAGACTCTGTCCACTGCATCCCAGTGTTTCCCGAAACCCTTTGCTTCATCATATTTTGAAGTTTCATTTAACCGCCACTAACTCAATCACAGGCACTTTAATTAAAACCAAAAATGATAATCTTATAGAAGGCCCTCCCTGACCTGAAGAATTTCATGTGTTTTTTGAGAAGATTGAGGAAGGTAGAAACTTTTTTGGACCAACATTAAATCTTGAACTGACAATTTTTGCACCCACAGGATAATGCAACTGGCTGGAAGAACGTTTTCTTTCTATCATCTGGCATTAATCTATTAGGAATGATTTTCTACCTCATCTTTGGCCAGACAGATGTCCAGGATTGGGCCAAAGAGCAGAGACTCACCCGCTTCTGAGGAGCCATGGGAAATGAACTGAAAATTAGTTCTACCAAAAACATCCTTAAGGATTTTTAGTGTCATCCTTGACTTCTCAACTCTCAGGCAATATACGCCAATGTCAACCTTGTCTTTTTAATATCCACAACACCTCTTGTGTGTGTCTGCTCTTCTCTACTCACTTAGCCACCACCTAGTTCAGGACCTCATCAAACTTGCTTAATCTGTTGGAATGACCTTTTGCATCTCCCTACCCCATCTCTTCCCCACTCTGCGATGCATCCTCCCCACAGCTGACAAAATGATTTTCCCAAAGCACAAAACTGATCATTTTACTCCCCTCCAATCAAGAAATTCCACCATCTCCCAATTACCTCTAGAATACACTACAAACTAGTATATTTGAAATTTAAAGCTCTTCACAGCATAGCCCCTTCCTACCTTTGTGGTCTTCTTATATTTTATGCCTCTCCTCACATTCTGCATTCTGGACCTGCTGCTTTGCCTTCTCATTATTCTGCACATATAACATTTTCATCTCTACTCTCCATGACTGCGCACTCACTCGCATCCATACCTGGAATATATTCCCTGCACACCTCTGCCTCTTGGAATCTTACATTTTCTTCAAGATTCAGCTCAAGTGCCATGAATATTTTACTGGTTCCCACCCCAGCTGCTACGGGACACTCTCCCAAAACATACCAATAAAATATTCATTTTGTATTGAGAAAATTAAAATTATTTTGTGTCATTTAAGAACTCCATTCTATAACTCACCCTATTTTATATTACTGCCCCATTTTGTATATTTCTTCCAGCCACATTTCTCCATCCTTGAGTTAAGCTCAGGAATACAGTTTTCTCTCTGAGTCAATTTAAAGGTATAATTAAAAGGGAATGTTGTTATCCCTCTGACCATTACCTCCTAGAACATCTGCTTGTTGTCTATAAGTCCCAACCAGATTAACCTGGTACCATCCCCAAAAGTGTTTTCATCCTTGCCTGCAGTTATAGGTGATTGGATATCCTCCAATATGACATTGAGGCCAGTGGTACTGATGCCCTAGCAAAGATGACAAAAGGCAGATGAGTCCCATAAAACAATTAACATTCCATAATTGTCAGAGAGGGCCAAAGCACTTTTCTTTGTATAGCCAATCATAATCTTCCCCAACTAACCTGACCCCTCTTCTCCTGTGTTTCAGTAAAAAAGATCTCTTCCTTCTCATTGGGGTCACTGGCCTTGCTAAGGTTGCCAGGCTGACCCACTTTGTTAACAGTTATGCACATCACTGTTAATAAATTGATTCTGCTCAAAGTCTGCACGTCAGTTTTCAGTTCAGCTATTTCAGTCATGTCAGACTCTTTGTGACCGTCTTTGGAGCTTCTTTGACAAAGTTACTGGAGTGGATTGTCCTTTCCTTCTCCAGATTACTTTACAATGAGGAAATTGAGCAAACAGGGTTAGGTGACTTGCCCAGGGTCATACAGCTACTAAGTGACTGAAGCCATATTTGCACTCAGGAAGATGAGTCTTCCTGACTTCATGCCCAGTACTCTATCCACTGTGCTGCATAGCCTGCCTGTTCCTCAGTTGATCTTTATTGAATTTACTCTAAACAATACACATTCTGTATATAATCATGAGTACATGGCATCTCACTCATTAGGGTGTAAGTTCCATGAGGGCAGGCAGTGTTTCACTCCTGTCGTCATATCCTCAGCATGTGGTCTAGTGCCTCCCACAGAGCAGACACTTAATCCACGCTTGTTCATTGGTTTTAATCTTTTCTTCCCTGACCTGCTGGCTCCTTAGCTATGAGTCTTGGTTCTGGATCCAGCCCTATTCTTTAGAGATGTGGCCAACCTAAGCAGAGGGTACTCTGATGATTCCGTACATGTTTTAACATAGCCAGATGTCCCAACTAGATGAACAAACATGTATCACCACATTACAAAATATTGTACAAGGGACCGTGGTGATCCTCTAGTGCAACCCTTCCATGAAAAGGAATACCCAAGGAATCAGGTAGGCAGAGGAGCAGAAAACAGTGTAAAGAGGAGCTTTCTGCCCCACTCCCAAACAGATCTAGAAAACACATGAGACATCATACTGATGGGGAAATCCAAGAAAAACTCACAGTACATCATTTTCCCAGCCCTGTTCAGCACAGGGTGACAAGGAGGTCTGTGGACACTGGAGGTCAAGTCAGGACCAGCACCTTGCTGGACAGTATGCCAGCACCCAGAACAAAGTGAAGAACTGGGGCAAGAAGAGGTCCTAGACCAATACAAGGTATCCTCAGACCTACACTAAAGCACCAAGATGCTGGGACAGGTGAAAAGTGGCACCTTTGTTGCTCACTACCTAATTCCCAGCAACAAATGCACAGTAGACTAGGAGAGGATGTGCCTCAACCCACCGCACCCCAAGTAGTCTCCAGCCCTAGGGGTATACTGAGAAGGAAACAAGGTTCAGAAGCAAGCAAAAGCAGTGTGTCTCGGACACCAGAGCAAAGGTTATCAGGTCCCTTCCAGCGTAGTCTGAAGAAGCAGAATTAACCAGGCCATTCCAGACCAAAGGGAAACCTGCAATTCTGTCCTTCTGATCCAGCAGAGCTTCCCAGGTAGCTAAAGGTAGCTAAGTCCAGCACCAGTCTCCTCTTTCTCAGACCCGAGCCTAGGTCAGAAGTTTGCAGAGCTCAGAGCAGAGCAGTAGAAATCAGGCTTTGCCCTGAATCAGACCAATATGGAAGCGCTGAAAGCTTGCTGTTCCCCAGCCTGAGCTATCCCTGAGATCCTAGAACAATACAACACATGACCCCCAAGAAAGCAGCAAAGACCAGCCACACATTCCCTACAGAGACTATCCATAATATGAAGTCTGAAGTCAGAAGTAGGCTGGAAGAAGGAGCCAACAAAAGAAAAAAAGAATTCCGCCATATAAAGTGTTTATGGTGACAAGAATGCTGAAGACACACATACAGAGAATGACATCAAAACATCTACAAGCAAAGGTTCTGTGAAAAATACAGATTGAATGGAGACTATACCAGATTGCACTCTCTCTTGGGGAGGGGGCAGGGGAGAGGGGGGAAGAAATTTAAAAATCAAAATCTTATGTAACTGAACCTTGAAAACTAAAAATAAATTAATTGTTAAAAGAAAAGAATAGAATAAAAATACAGCATGTGCATAAATTCAGCTAGAACTCCTGAAAGAGATGTGTTTGTTTTATTTTTTAAGAGTTGAGGGCAGCTAGGTGGCACCATAGGTAAAGCACCAGCCCTGGAGTCGGGAGAACCGGAGTTCATATCCAGCCTCAGACAATGACACTAGCTGTGTGTGACCCTGCAAGTCACTTAACCCCAATTGCCTCACAAAAAAAAGTCTTAGAATCCAGACTTCTTTTATGAGGCAGCTAGGTGGCATAGTAGATAGAGCTCTGGCCTTGGAATTAGGAGGACTTGAGTTCAAATCTGGCCTCAGACACATGAAACTGACTAGTTGTGTGACCCTGGGAGAGTCACCCAACCCCATTTGCCTCACCAAAAAGAAAAAAAAAAGAATTGAAAATGTTCTTGCCAATGACAGAGTTATGTTAGAGGAGAAAATGGGGAAGAAATGAAAGCTATGGAAGAAAGAACTGCAAAGGGAAGTAACAGCTTGACATAGGAGGTGCAAAACTTTACCCAAGCAACAAACTCCCTGAAAATTAAAAGGGAACAAATAGAAGCCAATGACTCCATAAGACAATGAGAAACATTAAAACCTTAAAGTGCTAAATAAATGCTGATTATCATCATCATTATTATTATTGATTATTCCTGGAAATGTTGCTTCTCTAATGGAGCCCAAGGTTCTATTTGCCTTTTAGGGTTCCCTTAAACACTGTTCACTCATATGGAGTTTTGCAGTCCCTTTAATCTTATTCACATGCAATATTAAGCCCTATATATGACTCTCAAGATTCTTCCTAAAATGCACTAGCTGGGCAGCTGCTCCTGAACTCTAACCATTAGAGACAGTGATGAATTAATGCATCTTGTGCTTCTTCCAGATTTATGATTAATGAAAATGCCTTCCCATTTCAAGCTTTTAAAAGGAGGAATTCAGTTCTCATCAAAACTCGTTAAGTAGGCTGATTTATTTTGTATTCACTTTCTAGTGTTGTTGCTCTAATCTTTCTCTTCTATGTTTTTCAAACTGTGAGAAAAAATTGTAGGTGACCCATATAAGTAAAAGAAAATATTGATAACTTTAGAGAGGGCACCTTCAATTCAGTGGTAGGATTAGAAATCAGATTCAAAGGAGTGCAGAAGAGAGTAGGAAAAGAAGAAATAGATACAGTGAGTATAAATAACTTTCCCTGGGAGTTTTGCAAAGAAAGACACATAGAATGACAGCTTGAGGGAATGGTAAGATAAAGTGAAGGATGGGGGAGAGGGGGAGGACTTTAAAAGGTGGCAAAGGACTCAATGAATAATAATTTTTAAAAAGGTGATTAGATAGTAAGAATGACTGATGGGGCAAAGTCCTGAAGGAAATAGTACAGAAGGGATGAATGTCAGCTTGGGGGTTTATTGGTCTTACCTCCCACTTAGCAGTAAATGATCTCTAAATGTGATCAGTAAGGAGTCACTCAAGGGAATAAAACACAACCCATTTACGCAATTCATATTCTCCTATGGTGGTGGTGGCTGAGTCATATTCAACTCATTGTACTCCATTTGGGATTTTCTTGGTGGGTACTAGAGTGGTTTTCCATTTTCTTCTCCAGCTCATTTTAGAGATGAGGAAACTGAAGCAGAGTTAAATGACTTGCTCAGCATCACACAGCTAATGACTGAGACTGGATTTGAACTCAAGTCATTCTGACTCCAGATCTTGTGCTCTATTCACTGTGCCACCTAGTTGCCCAGAAATACAATGGATAACAATAATAATAATTTTACATAAATCCGATATAGCAAAGATGTCTTAAGATGCCTTTGTTTGTGAAAAGCAGAGTTCTGAGATCTTGCCGCCCATGCTAATTGTTTAAAGTGATTAAGTTAAAGTGATTAATAGTGCTGGACTCTTACAATATACTGACAATGGGGCAAAACTTCAGTACTTCTCCATCAACTCCCAGAACTAATCAGTTGCCAACAATTGTTGACTCTGCTTCCATATCATTCATATCACACTGAGGTGCTATTCCATAGGATTGAGATTCTCATCTGTAATTTCAATACAACAAGCAAACAAAAATCTGTTTGATTCTCAGTAGACACACACACACATACACACACACACACACACACACACACACACCCCAATCCACTTGTAATCTTCTGAATAATCCACAATATTCTTGAAAATCATTGCCAATGGGGCAGCTAGGTGGTGCAGTGGATAGAGCACTGGTCCTGAAGTCAGGAGGACCTCACTTCAAACCCAGCCTCAGACCAAACACTTGACACTTACTAGCTCTGTTACCCTGGGCAAGTAACTGAATCCCAATTTCCTAAAAGCAAAAAAAAAAAAAGAAAGAAAAAAAGAAAAATCATTGCCAATATTAACATCTCTGTACTAGTCTTCTCCATCTTTTTCTCAAAGGTATTATTAAAAAAACAAAATAAAACAAAAAGGGGGAGCTAGGTGGCACAGTGGATAGCACACTGTCCCTGGAGTCAGAAGGACCTAAGTCGAAATCCAGCCTTAGACATTTGAAACTTAATACCTGTGTGACCCTGGGC